TATAATGATATGTATTCATTATTTGGTATCATACAGAGTAGTTTTACTACAACACAAAATTTTTCTGTGTTGGCTTATCCGTCCTCCCTCCCCTATCCTTCACAACCACTGATACGCTTGTGGATCATTTAGAACATTGTCTGGCCATTGCACAACAGCTCTCAGGATGGAATATGAAGAGAGCTATTTTCCATTCCTTTCTTTCACCGTCACTCAGCAATGCAAGCTGTCCTGAGTTCTTGAAGACTTATCTTTTACCATAGCTAACCAGACTCTGTCATGTGGGCTGTGGATCTAGCTTCATGGTGGAGCATGTGTATAGCTGCGGTGAGTCCCTGGGTTCCATTCCCGGCACCACACAAATAAATGAATAACTAAATAAATGTAAGCATTCTACGAAAGGTACTAATTAACTCAGTGGCCTTGGAGTCTCTTAAAAAATGCATCAATAATGGAACTAAGAATTGCTGTTTCTGTTTTATGTCTCATGGGATACATAAGGATCAAGGACAACATGATTTTGTTGGGGTAAAACAAAATTGCTTTCTCTCTCTCTCTCTCTCTCTCTCTCTCTCTCTCTCTCTCAATCACCACGTGTGTGCATGTGTACTTTGCTGGGAAGAACAAACAGTGCATAAGAATGGGACTAAAAAATATTCTGCGGTATCACGCACTGTGTCAACATAGGCATTGCGCTATTGCATTGTGATGATTTCATGTCTGTCAGATCTGTGAGGTGGTCATTGGGAAGCTGATCATGCTGCTATGTTGGGGTCTCACTGCTCATCATCCCAATCTGCCACCTAATTAGATGCAGGGGAAATAGTCCTTGAGCAAATAAAAGAATGCCAGAAATGATGTTCAGTGTTTCACTCACCCCAGTGCCTGACTTCTGGAAGTGATCGGCTTTTAATCAAGGTCTTGGGGACTTGCAGGAGTCCCAGGCAACTTTGCAAGAATCACTTTTGTCCCGCGCGATTGTCTTGTCGGCAAGAACAACACAGGACACTCGGATCCTTCTGCAGTAAAGCTTTAATGCCTCTTGAGAGGAAGAGCATAAGCTTACAAAAGCGGAGACCCGGAGCCAAGAATCCCGTCCCCTAATAAAGGCTGGCAACCGCCGCCTTGGACGTGTTACCCATGATTGGCTGTAGCTCATCGGACCATATGACGCCACGAGGCAGAGATCAAGGAATGGAAAGTTACCCAGTGCCTGCGCGCATTAACTTTACATTCGGTGCCTGCCGGATGCAGGCACCATCTTGTAATGGAGAATGCAGGGACGGCTTCCTACACAGTTTCACCTTTCACTGACAGAAAGGGGAGGGGGACATTAGAAATAGCAGGAGCTTGCAGAGCTCACCGAGACAGCTATCCCAGGTCTTGTGAAGTTTTCATATCAACCATTTAGCTGTTAATGATAAATTCTGAGTAGGCAGATTTCATTTGCCTGAGATGGGAGCTGGGTTATAAAACACAAATCCATCCCTGGATTTGGCCTCTAATAATGTTTGCTTTTACAATTAGTTCTCTTTTTTAATCTGTTAGTGTTTTACCAATCCGCTTGAGTAGGAGTTCTAGATATCTGTTAATAGTTCATTAATCACATTCGAGAGATCATCATCTTTGAAACTCCAGGATGGGAATTTTAATTCTCTTCTGGACTGCCAGTCAGGCCTGTGCCTATGGGAGAGAGTGCTTCCCACTTCACGCCTTCGTTGGCTGACACAGTTTCTGAGGCCATTTGCTAATCATCCCACTTGATGTGAAGTCAATTTGATTTAGAATCCTGGCTTTCAATGAAAGCAACTGTAGAGTTCAAGCAATTCAGGCTCTGCACATGTGTAAAATAAGCATTTCTGTTTTTTATGACTGCTCTCATTTCCTCAGAGGCCCTTTTGGAGGATGAGTTTGGACATGGGCCCTGTGAGCTGCCATATTTAATATACAGGTGTGGCTCACCTGGCCATGTGGGGTGACAATCACAATTTCTGTTTCCTCAGTTTCCCCTGCTGCTATTCAACACTGGTTTGGGAGGAGAGTTTAGGCTAAGAGGTTTTATCTGTCTTATCTCACATAGTGGTAAATGAGGCCAAGCAGCAGCAGGGCACCTGGAACCGTGTCGATTCTTGCTTGGGACAGGTTGCCAGGCTAGTCCTCACTGACAGTCCTCACTGATGGAGTCTGTCCTCCAGACATGTGTTCTCATTATGCAATCCATGCATATTGTGACATTTGTTTCAACTTCAAGTTCCTGTCCACCTGCCAGTCTCAGCATCTCTTGTACTTTTTAGTGTGAAGATCTGTAAGAAATGTGTCATGTCTTGCCTCAGGCTTTTCCTGCTGTTTTACTTTTCAGGATTTATTTTATTTTCATTGTGGTGGTGGGTATGTGCCTTTGAGTGCAGGTGCCTCCGGCGGAGGCTAGAACCATCAGCTCTCCCTAGAGCTGGAGTTACAGGTAAATGTGCACCTCCTGATATGGGTGCTGGGAACAGAATTCTAGTCCTCTGTAGTATCAGTGCATGCTCTTAACCACTTAGGCATCTCTCCAGGCCCGACTCTTCTTTCTTGCCATTGCTCATGTGATGTTAAGTATTCATGGAGACTGTGTTCCTTATAAGGCTTCTGCTGGCCTCCCAGGACAAACCGGCTCTTGGGAACCACACTTGTTTTGATGGATCTGTACTCCCTGACACTCCTTTTAGATTCCTTTCCCATGGAAGGGAGATGCCGTGTTTTCCTGTTCATGGGAATCATGTGTTGTCACTCACAGCATATAATGTAAGGAAACCATTTGTGATCTCCCTGACACTTGATCAATATCAATATATCGGTAGACATTTAAAGAATGCTGGACCTCTTCTTTAACGACTCAGCTCATGAAGGATGACCACAAGGCACTAGAAAGTGGATGAGAAATGAAAACACACTGCTTTAATTTTCTAAAGCATCTTGGTTACAAGTAGATCAATGGTTGTTAAGTCTGCCTAATGTTAAAAATATTAAAATCAGCAGGCCTTTTTGTTTCTAAGAGGTTAAGGTTTATACACCACACATACTGGTTAGCCTGGTGCTGAGAGTAAGTAGTTTAAGCAAATTGTTGAGTCTCCATAAATTACTCCATAGCCAGTGCTCTTTCTTCTTCATATACTGTTGATTGATTGATTGATTGATTGATTGTGTGTGTGTGTGTGTGTGTGTGTGCCCATGCCAGTGCATAAATGTGAAGGTCAGAGGATAACTTCCTTGTAATGACTCAGATCTCTCCTTCCAACATGTGAATTACAAGGAACTGAACTTGGGTCATTAGCCTTGCAGGTCTGTGTGTTTCCCCATTGAGGCACCTCAAATCACTGACCCCTAACACTTTAAATTTTTATTCTGAAGTAGGTAACACAGGGAAACATGTATTTCTTTTTTTCTCTAGATTTTTTTAATTTAAATTAGAAACAATCCCAGTTCCCTCTTCCTCCCATCCTCCCATGCCCCCCACCAATCCCATCCCCTTTCTAATCCCCAGGGAGGGTGAGGGCTTCCATGAGGGAATCATCAAAGTCTGTCACATCATTTGGGACAGGGCCTAGGCCCTGCCTGGTGCGTCCAGGCTGAGGGAGAATGGGCTCCCAAAGTCCATCTGTACACTAGGGATAAATGCTGCAGAATCATGCGTTTCATTCAGTGTTTGTAGTGTTGTATGTGAATATGTTTGTGTTTAATGTAGACTTTCTTAAAGAATAATGAATTACTTTCTTCTACCTCCTTGTGTATTTCTGCCTTGTGGTGGGATCTTCACAATCCTGAGCTGTTGGAGAGGACACCCTGAGAATGGCTCAAGTTCCCCATCACTCACAATGAGGCGTTGCTACTCATCAGCCATAATGGGGAGAAACACAGTCCTTTCTGTCCAGTCCCAACTCCACACTCAGAGTGTCCCTGGGGTCACTTTTGCAGTCATTTAAAGTGTGTAAGAGGGAAAAAAGTGAATATTTGCCCAGACACATACAACTTGAATTTTTAATTTAACACCAGATCTGCCTAAATACTGAACCCCAAACTTCAAGGGATGGAAACACAACCCACCGAAGCAAACTTCTCTCCTGGGTCTAAGATTCTCTGCACCTCTGAAACTCCTTTTTTCACTGGCTCTTGCTTCTCAGCCTGTGCCTGAAACCACCCCAGGGCTGCTGTGGGAGAGGACTCCTCATTCATACTCTGCCTTGCATCTTCCCTCCCACTTCCCCTCTCATCCTCCAAATAAAAAAGAAGTTCGAGTCTATTTGTTTCTGTGCAGTTGAACCATAATTCTGTCCAAATGAGACTTCAGGCATGTCAGGAGACCAGCAGCAGGTAGCCCACACTCCTTTCAACTTCCCGTTTTGAAGGAATTTACAAACCTAAGAGAAAAGGAAAAGAAAGTCAGAAACCTAGAGGAAAATTACAGTATGTAGACTTCCTGTTTCTGACCTTACCTTCTCCATAGAAAGCAGGTATTCCCAGGTAACAGATTTCTTAATAACTATCAAAAGCAATTCAGTTTGGAATTTATACTGGCTCAACTGAATGCTATGTTAGTTGTGCACCTTGGGGGAAAATAAGTACCACTAAAAAGCAGCCTAAGGAAGGTACATGTGCCTTGAGGGATGCTGGTATGCCCTGTGGGAAGCTGTGCATGGACATCAAGGAAGAGCATCACACTATTCTTCCTGGACATCCTTGTCCCGACAATTCAGTTTGAGCCACTATGGATACCTGCTTCCTATATCAAGCCCAAGTCCTTGTTCATTGATGTCTCTAAAAGTTGTTTGAGGCTCTGGAGACATTTGCCAAGAGGAAAATGCTGCAGGATACTTTCTTACTGGTTGCTGCTTATCTTGGAGGCAATGCATGTGACCTGATCATGGTGGCATTTGCTCAAGCTCTGCAAAGCAATTCATTAATGATACCCTTCTAGCACCAGCACACCTAAAACTCGATTTGTCTTTTTTCTTCATTTCCAGCCTGGATGTGTAAATACCACAGAAGTGGACATTAAGAAGTCATCCCGAATGAGAAACCCACACAAAACACGCAAGGTAAATGGATGTGTGTCCTGTGGTCTTGCTGCATCCCAGAAAACCCTCCTCTGGTGTCACAAGCATGCTTTACCCTGGGGTTCTATCCTAGCAATTCCTTTTCTGGAGTGATGTAAGCAGTATATAGCTTACATGACAAACTAAAGTACCTTCTACCAGAGTTTGCCATGGAGAACCAACCAATCTTTTGGGCATCCTCACGGAAGGTACTTGCAGGAGTATAAGGGACCCCAAATATAGCTGCTCTGGAAAGTCTTCTACCCAGTATGGATGACAGCTTTCCCATGACTACATAGATGGAGTTCCCCTCTCAGTTAGTTTTCCCAGACTGGATACTCTTGCATCTTTCAAGACCCTGAGTCCAAGTGCAGTGAGGGTGAATTGCTTACAAATGGCTGAGTGTGCAGGAGGGAATCTCAGACAAGGGTCCAGTGACTCTCCTTACCCCCACTTTCTCTGAGGGAACTCAATAGCCAACAGGCCCATGGAATGGTCTCTTGCAAGTGGCCACCTCTGAGCTTATGTCAATGGCTGCTGTTTTTCTTGGAGGGCCTTGCTCTACAACACATTAGAGGGTGATGCCATGGGACTGTGACAGGAGGTAGGAAGAAAGCTGGTACAATTTATTCCCCATCACAGAACAGGGGTCCCCCTGGAGCCCAACAGACAGGTACAGGAGATGGAGATGTCTGGGGAAAGATGATATCAATAAAAATACAGTGTTTACAGGGGAAATTCTAAGGGAAATCTAAAATATGAATAACTACAGAAAGAGTAGAGGTCTTCCTCTTAACATCAGCATTTTTGGGACACAACCACAGGGATGGGCAGCTTCCTCCAGTCTGCTCCAAGAGAATGCCTCAAGACAAAAGCTCCCTTGATTATGTAGCATTGGGGCCTATGCATCCATTTGAATATATTAAATATATATTGGTTTGCATTGTAACATTTATTATATAACATTATATATGATAAATAGCATATACATAGTTTTGATTATACAATATAATTGCATCACTTCCCCCTTCCCTATCTTCCTTTCAAACCCTTCCAAGTCTCCCTGTCTCCTGTTCTCTTTCAAATCCTTGGTCTCTTTTTAAAAATTGTTGTTGTTGTTGTTGTTGTTGTTGTTGTGTGTGTGTGTGTATGTGTGTGTGTGTGTGTGCCTGTGCGTTTGTGTGAACTCCTTAATATAAAAGTTCAACCTGCTCAGTGTGTATAATTTACTTGTGTGTATGTTTTCAGGGCTGACTATTTGGTATTGGATAAACAATTAATGTGCTCTTCCCTGGGAAGACTATTTCTCCCACTCTGGGAGGTCCATGGTTGCTTGGAGTTCTTTGTCTAGGGTGGAGACCTTTGTGAGCTCCCCCATTTCCATGTTAGTGTGTTTATTGGTATCTTTCTTCAGGATAACAGCAAACTTCCTGTTCTTCAGGCTCTTACAATCTTTCTGCCTCCTCTGCCACAATCCCTGAGTCTTAGGTGAAGGAGTTGTGTTGCAGACATATTAATTGGCACTGGGCTCCAAAGCTCTGGATTTTGACTGGTTGTAGTTTCCTTTAATGATTTCTATCTATTTCAAGGAGAAATATCCTTGATAAGGGGTGAGGATTACATTTATCTGTATGTATAAGAATAAATATTTAGAATATCGTTATATTTTTGGGTATTTACCAGAGAAGACTGCTCAGATAACAAGTCACATCTAGCTGAGGGCCTACTGACGATTGAAAGCTACTGGGGGAATTGTTTTTTTGTTTGTTTGTTTGTTTGTTTTTTGGTTTTTTTGTTGTTATGTGAGTCTCATGTGTCCCAGGTGGCCTTGCACTCACTATGTAGATGATATGACTTATGATCCTTCTTCCACTTCCTGAGTGCTAAGATCAAGGACCTGTGCCACCATTACTGATTTTATGCAGGGAAGCAGATGCTAAAAAAAAAACACTCCACCACTGAACATGTCCAGTCCAGTGAAGAAGGAACTCGTGTCATTTGTAAAATCTCTCTCTCTTTCCCTCCTCCCCTCCCTCCTCTCTCTCTCTCTCTCTCTCTCTCTCTCTCTCTCTCACACACACACACACACACACACACCAGTCTCTAGCCAGTACAAGTCATTCTAAACAAACAACTCTGGGGTTAGCATCAGCATTCTGTACCTTGGTAGACGTTTTCTGTTGTTTTAACCCCATGTAGCTCCAGCATTCTTCTAAAGTGAACATTCCTACATGAAGATGAACCAAACTAAGACTTTTTTGAGGCTTGGGAACCTTATTTCATGTGACTTTTTTTCTTCCTTCAAAGATCCCAATATGGCCCGAGTCCTTTTTCTTTTGAGGCAGTTTCCCTTAATGTTAGGAGGGGGAAGCCATAGGAAGAGTCACAAAGTTCATTTAGATGCATTGAGCAAAAACTTTCCCACTAGGAACTCTCTGAGATAAAGAATAAAGCCATCCCACTACAAACCTACTTGTGTAGATGCTCCTGCTTTCTTTCATCTGCTCCCAGAGAACACTGGGCTCACTCCACTAGTAGAGCCAAACAGAATTCAAAAGTCAGTCATCTCTCCAGAAAGTGCAGGGTGTTCCCACTTCTACCTGAATTATTCAAAAACCCCTTCCTGTGGCTGACTGAGATGTTTTCCAGCTGGGAGAAGAAAGCAGAGGGGTAAAGAAGGTGAGGCTTGGGTGTGCTGAGTGACCACTCATCCTCTTCAGCACTAGACTCAGTGTTGCTGTGTGAGCTGGGATTCCTTAGCCTTCCTCCCAGAAAGCCCAGAGTAACAGGAGAGCTCTTCACATGCCATCAGCTCCTCATATACTATCATGGATGGCAGAAACCTAAGGTGGCATGCAGTGAAGTGTTGTAAAAATAAAGAATCAATGTGTGTCAACTCAGTTTGTCTAGCACACAGCTGGGAGTGGTGGGTATTATCACCCCAAGTAGTATAACTCTCTCTCTCTCTCTCTCTCTCTCTCTCTCTCTCTCTCTCTCTCTCTCTCTCAATTCATAATACAACTTCATCACCACATACTTTATTGGGAAACCCACTTATTTAGGTAGCTATAAAGTAATTATTCCCTATGTATTTGCAAGGATCCTTGGAGATACTCATTCCTCCTCCCTCTTCTATACTGCCCCCATCCTGTATATTTTTGATAAGAAGCATCATCAAATGAGCTTTGAGTGAGTTCACTGAATATGTGGAAGTGTTTGCCTTTTAGAAGGTCTCTTGCTATCAAGGGTATTTTGTTCTGACACTTTTCTCATTTTAATGTAGTCAGTCTATGGTTTACAAAATGACATCCGAAGCCACAGTCCCACCCACACACCTACACCAGAAACCAAGCCTCCTACAGAAGACGAGCTGCACCAACAGGTATGTATGTCTGTGAAATGACCAACTGAGGGTCCGTGGGACAACCATGCAGAGAAGAGAATGAGCGCTCACTCATACTGGGTAGAATTTGGAAGGTTATTTGCATGTTCAACTGCTTCATTGAGATTTACAATATAAAAGGCAATGGAAGCCAGGCATGGTGGTCAATGCCTGTAATCCCAGCTTTCAGAGGCTGAATGCAGGAGGATTAGAGGTCTAGGAGAGTTGTGTTTGAGCCCAGATTCTGTCTCAAAGCAAATTCAAAATTTTAAACAAAGAGACAGAAGTATAGCTCAGATGATAGTGGGTTTGCTTGGCCTGTATAAGACCTTGGGGTCAAATCCCCAAAACGACTGTATCTGTGCATATGTGTGCCTTGATCTGATTCTAAGACATGAACCTTGAAACATACAATATATGGAAATGTTTTTTGGAAACTCTTCACTGATTTTTCGCTTCTTTGCCTTCAGACCATTTTTGGAAACCAATACACCTGCCTTAGAGGTGACTTGGCCATTGAGAGTTGCTCTATACTCTAAAGCTGTCTGAGAGGAGAGGACAGCAGCTTAGAGACAGTCTTATTTCCACATGAAGTGATATGATCACCACAGAATGTGGATGCCTTTGTCTCTGCAGCATTGATTTCTCTAACCTTTTGAGGTTTGTCATTATCAACCCTGGTGTGTCATCATCATGGTCTACATTGTTCCCACTAAAAGTCTGTTTGTCTCCAAGAAATGTTTCAAAGAAAATGCCAAAGTCTCATATCAAGTCATGGTTGGCTTAATCAGAGGGCTACTCCCCTACCTTTGACTCATTTTCACTAATATATTACTGCACTGTGCTTTATCAGTAAGTTAACGTTCACTTTTATGCTGTATAATTAGGAAAAAGTAGTTCAGAGGCTTTTTTCCTAAGTTAGTTTTATTGTGTATTTATATCTTTATGAGAATGTGTCACGAGCTGATAAGATGACTTTCAAAATATATAATTTTAATCCTTACTTTGGATAGCACAAGCTTGTAAAATTTATCTTAAAATTATGGTAACCAATAAAGCTGCATTTGTTTTATGAGTGAAATATTTGTAGAGTAATTGGATTCTGAATCTAGTTATTTGTCATGAATGTTTAAAACCACCATAGCACTTTTCAAATAAAGTTACATTTCCTTGAAGCAAACATTGTATTCAGATGTATTGCTGTTCTGAAATTGTACTTGTTGGGTTAATATATTATATATTCTAACCCTTTCAAAGCTTTCTGTTTTAATTTTTTTCTACCTTTTTTCCCTAGAACATACTCAGCAAGGACTGGAATTTAGAGTAGTGAGTTGAGTTGCCATGTTTATGTAACTGTGTCTTCAACTTTTTGTTTTTATAGATAAAATACTGGCAAATACAGTTAGACAGACATCGATTAAAAATGTCAAAAGTTGCTGATAGGTAAGTATTTTAAGATACCAGTATATTTTTATTTATTTAAGATGTGTCTATTTTTATTTTATGTGTTTGTGTTTTGTCTGCATATAAGTCTATGCATGTGTGACTTGGTACCCACGGAGGACAGAAGGCATTGCATCCCCTGAAACTGGAGTCATGAATGTTTATGAGGCACCATGTGGTTTCTGGGACTCAAACCCAGGTCTTCTATAAGAGCAGTTCTTAATCACTGAGCCATCTCTCTAGTCCCATGCTATAAATTTTAAATGTCATATGACAACTGTATTAAAGATAGTATACAAGGGATGGAGGAGAGTGGAAGCAAACGTTGAAACATGCTGGATATGTTGTCTTACTTTTGCCCATGAAAAACTTCTGAAGTCTCTTGTCATAATTTAAAGACAACAAAATAATGATTGTCTTACATTCCAGAAGTCCAATCCTTGTAGAACCAAGAATCGGGTTAACGGGAGTGGTTTGTGCTTATTCCTGGTGGGAGAAATCAGTCTTTTAACTTACTGCTTACCTTTTGGGGTTTTTTTATTATTTCAAATTAGAAACAAGCCTGCCTCACATGTCAATCCCTTCTCCCTCCCCTCCTCCCCCACCCTCAACTGATATCATTTTTTTTTTAAATGTTAGCTAGTGAGTCCTATCTGTATCTGAGATGAAATTTGACTTTCAATCCTTTCTCCAACTTGGCTACAATCTGCTCTGTTATGAATGTCCTGGCTAGCCAGGACAGGAATGACCCTCAACACCTACTGCTCAGGCATAGCCGACCACATAGTCTTTAGTGGAGCATTCTCCATTATTCCATGCTCAGGCTGGGAGGCAGAATCATCATCCACATCTGCCTGCCAGAACCATGGTGAGTTGTTGCATGTAGATTGTGGAAACAGAAATTGCCATTGGATTTCTTTCTGGAAATGTATGTGGATTCCATCTCCAAGGTGTTTCCCTTGCTTTGAACCAGGTATACCTTAAAGTTTAAAATGAAGCTGGAAATATTTCCCTCTGTTTTTTCCCTAGTCTACTAAGCTATACGGAACAGTATGTAGAGTATGACCCGTTTCTTGTGCCACCTGACCCTTCCAACCCCTGGCTGTCGGATGATACGACTTTCTGGGAACTTGAAGCAAGGTAAAACTATAAATTCTTCCTTCTAAATATGTCAGCTATTTAAGAGTGTGCATGAAATAGCAGAGTCAAGAGCAGGCACCTTGTAAAGGGAATTTTTGCTTTTGCTCTACATCATCCATGATTTATCATTCTTAGTCCAAAAGAGATTTTAGGCATGGGCTTCCACACTGAAATTTGCCCTGCTACTAGAGTGCTGTTCTGCCATGAGAAAGGAAGGAGTCTAGTCGTTAGTAGCCGCCTGGATTGTCACTGTGTTAAGTGAAATAAGTAGGCTATAGAAACAAGAGAACCACATGATGTTACAAAATATTAAAAAGGCAGAAATCGGAGGTTAAATGGTGGTTCACAGAGTCTAGGCAAAGTTGGGAAGAAAAAGACATAAGGAGAGGTTGATCAATGGATATTAAATAAGAGTCCCATGGGATCTAGGAACACTGGTGTGCTGTTTGACTGTAGGGAGATTGCTGACATCTATGTGTTGTACATTTGAAAACTAGGCAAAGGAATCCTGAATACTTTTACCTCAGAGACTTGCTACTTGAGGAGATAGATGCATTTACCCTGATTCAAATATTACATGATATGCATGTTTCAGAATATCTCATAGTCCTATATAAATATATATATATATATATATATATATATATATATATATATAAATTTTATAGATTCTAAAACTTTAATTTTAGAAACAAATTTACATTGCTGAAATAACTGGCCCAAAATTAGGGCTGACATTTTAAAGATGGGTTAGTCAGAATTCAGATCTTTGGTTTTTAAGATTCAGCTCCTTGCTAATAAATCTTTTGAAAATCCATATAGTCACATAGGCTTGTGTTCAGGTAAAATGGATTCCAAATCCACACTTAATTAAGCACAGTGCAAACATGCCTACATACACTCCATTTTATAAAGAAATGAATTTTCACCATAAATGCAGAGAAACTGATTTTTAAAAATCCAAGCACAATTTAGAACTGCATATTTCTTTGGTTAGCTGTGTGGGGCATTGTGGCATCAATCTTGAAGCTCACTCAGAGGTGATTTCATGTATCTTTACAAAAACAGAAGTATTCAATAGCATTTCTGTTTTGTTTTGCTTTAGGCAGGGTCTCTTGTAGCCCATGTTGTCCTTCAACTTGTTATGTCACTAAGGATGGTATCCAACTCCTCATCCTTCTACTTCCTACTCCTAGTCACTGGGATTACAAACCTTGATATCACACATGGCTCTAGGTTGTATTTATGGGCCATTTCTCTTTTATCCATCCATGGATCTTAAACATCCACCAATTCAGAAGTCTTCAGTCACAAGTTTTGTACATATATGCATACACACATACACATTAAAAAGATTCCACTATATATATATATATATATATATATATATATATATCCCCATTCCATGAATAAATATGGTTCATATTTAATTGAAGCAGAGTCATATGTAGAAATGAGGCCTTCCACTTTGGGAGCCCATCCCACATGGAGGGATACTCCCTGAGCCTAGACACAATGGGGGTGGCCTAGGCCCTATCCCAAAGAATAAGACAGACTTTGAAGACCACCCCTATGGAAGGCCTCACCCTCCCTGGGGAGCAGAATGGGTATGGAATAGGTAGAGTGTTAGTTGGGGGGCAGGGAAGGAGGGGAAGGAGAGGGACCTGGTATTGACATGTAAAATAATTTTCTTTCTAATTAAATTTAAAAAAACAAAGAGAAAAAAAGCAATGAGGCCTTCCAGACACAAATGCAGCATTCTAAGGATGACCTACATCACAGACTGCAACTGTATAATGGTTGAAATAGGGCTCTGGGTAGCAGTAGCTGGATTTGTGGCCCCTATTACTTGTATGATGGATCATGTTATAACTCTTAATGCATCAGCTTCTTCATCTATAAAACGAGAGGGGCAATGTCAGTCTTACAAAGTTGCTAAGAATCCATCCAGACTCTTAGTTGCAGATTGTGTTATTAACCTAACTTATACCTCACTGTGATTTCATGAAGAATAGTCTATCAGTGATGCATTGCTGTTCTAGAAAATAAGCTAAAGATGGGCATTCTTCTTAGGTATACATGATAAAGAAAATAGGAATTGGCCCAGGCATAGTGGCACATGTCTTTAATCCTGTACTTGGGAGGCAGAAGCAAGTACATCTCTTGTTGTAATTGAAGAAAAGTGGCACTCAATAGAGAGATGCCATGCGACAGGGTTCAAGCAGAGGTTTTTTTATTAGGGAAAGGATCATAAAAAGTGGAAAGGGAAGGAAGGAGACCAGCCTCCAGAGACAGGAGCAGCAACAGGAGAGAGGAGAGAGAGGGAGAGGGACAGACAAACCCAGAGAGGGAGAGAAGGATGGGAGATGGGCAGGCCTTTTTAAAAGGGAAAGTAGTGAATGTGCACAGTTGGTGCTCTTAGTGGCTGCAGCTGAGGGCACATACTGTTAAAAGCCCAAAGACAGGCCAGTATAGATGCCTGAATCCTAACATCTCTGTAAATTCAAGGTCAGTTTGTGTCTACACAGTCAGTTCCACGTAAGCCAGGGCTACATAGTGAGAGCCTGCTCCACCTTAACCAGGCTTCCAAATGAAAACTATAATAAAAAGAATATATTTAACCTTATTTTTTCCCACAGCAAAGAACCAAGTCAACAGAGAGTAAAACGATGGGGTTTTGGCATGGATGAGGCATTGAAAGACCCAGTTGGGAGAGAGCAGTTCCTGAAGTTTCTAGAATCAGAATTCAGCTCAGAGAATTTAAGGTAAGACACATTTTGTCATTATGAGCCAAGGAGCCACTGTTTTGTCTAGTTACTTTAGATGTAATCGATCCGATCTGTTGCTCTCACTGGATCACAATGATGTAAACAAATTTCATCTCTGATACCTAAAGATGGAAGGAAGATTGCAAGACAAAAGCTATTCAGCATTATCGATTCTTTTTCATAATTTATTTTTACACTTCCACTGGATTTGTTGACTATATAAATTTAGAATTTTTGAAGTTAACTCCATAAAGAGTTACGATTCCCAGATCAATGTTTTGACAAAATGGAAAATGTCTGTATTAGTCAGTGTACATGTCATAATGTCCAGCAGAAACGAAGGAAGGAAGATATATTTTGGCTCACAGATTCAGGGAATTTTAGTCCTTCGTGGCAGGAAAGCATGACAGAGCAACTCAGGTCATGGCAGTAGTAGTGTATGGCTAAGGTTGATCACATCATGCTGATCTAGGAAGCAGAGAGCATGCATGCTCAAATATTATATATGTGTATGTATGTGTATTATGCACTCCTTGAACTGTCTATTATATGCCTATCATGCTTCTTTATTAAATGAGGCTCCCACAGCCTTCTGAAGTAGAACTACCAACTGGGGACCAGGCGTTCATGACATGGGGAGCTTCTTAGGGGAGCATTTCAGAATTTAATAATAACAATGGCCAATAGTACTTGTACAGTTATTTTAAAACTTTAGAGTTTACTTATCAATGTTAGCTTCCAATGTCACTACTTTGGCAAAAAAAAGAGGGTAAGTATCTCAATGATCTTGGAGCAAAAGTCAAAGGGAAGCTTTTATTACCGTGTGCCTTTGGATGCAGTAGAGCTGTGGACCACTTCTCAGACTTTAGCACAGAAAAGCTTTTGAGACTAACATAGAAATAGGGTGGGGGCACTTGTTTTGTCCATCTGTATTAAACACCATTCTCCTCTGTCATAATATTTTCTAACTCAAGGAGCACCTAGGGAAAACTTAAAATATGAGGCATTTGAGTGGTTGTTAATAGATTCTGCTTAAAATGATCAAAGCAATATATTTTCACTACATGATTTTTCCCCTTTTCTGGTGAGGTCCTCCATTCATTGTTCTTTGAAACCTGATACCCTGTTTTTTTTGTTTATTTGTTTGCTTGTTTGTTTGTTTTTTTCCATTTGTCATATCTTACTAGGCCCTGTGGAATTCATTTATAGAAGGATATTGGCAACTATTTCTTTTCATGGGGACTAAGCTAGCAAAGGACTGACTATCGAATTCTCTTTAGGAGCTAATCAGAAACATGCCTAAAGGTGGCAGATGCCTCAGAGTTGAGGAAGGCTGCCTCAGAGTTTAGGAAGGCGACCTCAATTAGGACTGGAATCCTCCCATTTTCTCTGCCTATCATGGAATTCAGGGTGTGCTTTCTTGTTGTCTTGTGGAACAAAAATTCTAGGAATTTTTGTTGGGCTTACTAAGTAAGGTTTTTCAAGAAAACAAACAGCCCCACTGGATGCTGAAGCCAAGTCCTTAGATAAGAATAGAGAGGGGTACCCAACATAGAGCCACCACAGACATCTTAATAGCTGACAGAAATCAGAAATAGCTTCCAGGCAGAGATTGGGTGATGAGAAGACTATTGGGCCAAAAAGGAAGAGCAAAGATACAGCAAGGTGTGCAAATCCTGGGCTTCAGGGAGGAACAAGGTCATTGCCAAGTCTTTGCTTCTGTTACACCGTTGCTATTTCCTATGTTTAGTCCTATGCCATGCTAATTTCCCCAAAGAAAGATTATACTTAGGAACTATTAGGGCTGAGGAAATGGCCCAGTCAGCAATGAAAATCCTCTGTAAGGATGGAGACCTGAGTCTGATGCCCAGAAGCCACGTTAAAAAGCAAATCTGATGTGATGGTGCACCACACTGGAGTCATAGTGCTGCATGTGTGGAGACAGGGGATCCCCAGGGATCATCAGCCAGCTGCTCTCCCCAGACTAGTAGCTCCAGGCCAATGAAAAGCTTTGTAAAGCACTTGTGCAGCATATGCGAAGTTCAACCCCTGGAACTTGGATCAGAGTGTTGACATAACTCAAAAAGTAAAATGCTTTCCCTCAGAGAAAAGAAAGAACCAACTTCCACAAGCACATCTACATTAACACATCACACACACACACACACACAAAAAACCACACAACTCAACAGCACAAAACAACACACACACACAACATAAAGTGAAAATAAAGAAAAATAAAGAGGATGGCAACCCAGGAAAATGTACATACAAGTATTAAATATGTCTTATATGTGTGTATATATATATACACATGCATATGTACTTCTTGAGTTGGCTCTTACATGCCTACCGTGTTTCTTTATTACATGTAGATAAACCCTAGAAAGACACAGCATGGAAGGCATTTTGAGGTCCCAATGTATACTATGTTTATACATACAACTTCTCTGAGTATAGTATATAGTGTTTTGCCTCCATTCTTTCTGAAAAAAATATGAATCAAATAATCAAAAATGTGCAGTCAATGTTCTTGCCTTATTTCCTAGATAATCAAAACAAAACATGTCTAAGTCAGATCAGCATCTTGGACAAGGTCAGAGTGCAGGAAGTGACATTCTTGTTTCTTATGAGCCAGTATGAACCTCCTGCCAACCATTCCCCAATGTTATTGCTTTGTTTAAAAAGAAGAAAAGAGAAATACTGATAAGACTATCAGTTTATTATAAGGCCCAACGTGGGGCGCCAAAATGTTATTGTTTGTTTAAAAAGAAGAAAAGAGAAGTGCTGAGACATGAGACATAAGACTATAAGTTTATTATAAGGCCCGGCAGAATGGGGAGACTAAGAAGAGGAACAGGGTAAATGGCTGACCGCCATGGCCGGTCGCCATAAAGAGACAGAGCGGGGAAACAGAGAGAGGGGACAGAGAGCGGGAACAGAGCGGGACAGAGAAACAGAGAAACAGAGAGAAACAGAGAGCATAAAGGGGCAGGGACTTATCTTTTAAAGGGGTCCTCTGCATCTGTGTGCAGACTTAGTTCCCATGGAACCTTGGGCTGACCAGGGCACTGCCTGAGTGGATTCCACCAGGTAACAGGGGCAGGCCAGCATAATGCCTGAACCTTTCACCCAAGTTTAAACCATACCCTGGCTTCCACCTAAGTATCTCTTTCCCACACCACAGTGATCCAGACAACAAGCAGGGCCGGATTTGCAGTTCAGTGACTCTCAGTGCATCTTATCTAAGCAGCAGCAGCCTCTGAACTAGAGTCTAGAGGATCTGTTGTCAATGAGACTGCCACTTCAGTTATCAGGATGGGAGGACTCAAGAGTTACTGCTTACCCATCTCTGCTTACTCTTCAGACACACCCTCTGTCTTCTGTTGCCCATATTTTGCTAAATCAATATGGTAATAGCATGGGTTAGGCACATAAAGTTGTGCCAGGCATTTTGAGATGCCCTTTATTTAAACTATGCCTTGAACTAGTCACTAGTTCCACTGGTTCCAAGTGGCACCCCTGGTAGATGTGCTTTTTTTTTCATGCCACTGTATTGATGAGGAAATCAAGAAGTGCAGATGTCAGTGACTTCCTTAGACTCCAGCTGCTATCAAGTGAACAGTGGGATTGAAAGCGGTACCCTCTCCATTTTACAAAGCTAAGCCAACTGTGCTAACGTTGATGATGAGAATACAGAAGGTGAAGCTGTTGTTAGGGAAACAGTGTGATGAAGTGGTTGTGAGAATGCCATCTGCTACAGATTTTCCGGAGCCAGCCTTCCATAAATCACCTAGTCTTTGCATCTTTACTTTCCTGATCTCTAATATGGGGAATGCATCACAGTATGAATGTTGTGAAGACTGCAAATACTCGCAATAGTACCTTCACCTACATATGGGTGTGCATGATCACATTAATCCCTCAGCACTTGGCTCCTTTACCCACTTTTCCATTGAATTTCTGATGTCAGTTCAAATAGAATAGCTTCCCTGAACCCTCTTTATTCCATCCACATGCCGGCCACTGTGTCAAGACTCTTTCTGGTTCAGCATCCTCAACTCTCTAGTGTATACTCCCTACAGAAACTCCAGTGTACTTCCAAGCATTGCAGCTGTTTCAGTATGGACATTTTTCTCTGTTAGTGCTGTGTTTGAAGATAAAGCCCTTTCTGTGTTGCTTCAGTGAAATTGAGACTATGCAGGATCGGGGCTTTGGCACATCTGCTTTTAATAAAAGCCACTGAAAACCAGTGATTTCCAATCCCTCCTTCTGAAGCACTTTTTGAATACTGGGGAAGGAAAAGCATTAAAATCAGAAGTTTAAGGTCATCTCTAGCAACATAGGAAAGTCAAGAACGGCCTGAGCTACAGGAGACCCTATCTTTAAAAGTAAAAAATAAAACTAACAAAAAATAATTTGATGCCTTTGAATATGACTCTTGAAAAATAAAAAGACAGCTAGCAGGGGAGTGATGTTGGAATCTGCAGAGAAAGTTAAGCTTGCTAGAGTAGTGAGAGGACATTACAAGGATGGCCAGGTATGCCTGTGGGGCTCACAGGTGCTGTGGTGTTTTGTAGGTTCTGGCTGGCGGTGGAGGACCTGAAGAAAAGGCCTATCCGAGAAGTACCCTCTCGGGTGCAGGAAATATGGCAAGAATTTCTGGCTCCTGGGGCCCCCAGTGCCATTAACTTGGATTCTAAGAGTTATGATAAAACCACACAGAATGTGAAGGAACCAGGACGATACACATTTGAAGATGCTCAGGTCAGTACATGGTCTAACCTCTCAGCATGAGGCCAACAGCTCTCTGCAGTATTTAAAGTTCAGTTTAAAACTGGACATAAACCCAGGTTCATTTCCTGAGGACAGAACAAAGACATTTCAGATTAAGTCATCTTTTAAACCCCTGGGAATATTTGTTTGTTTTGGTTTTTTGAGACAGGGTTTCTCTGTGTACCTTTGTAGACCAGGCTGGCCTTGAACTTACAGAGATCCACCTGTCTCTGCCTCTCAAGTGCTGGGATTAAAGGCATGTGCAGCCATCACCCGGCAACTTTTTAAAATATAAATTTAGTGTTTATTCACGAGAATTTCATGGGCCATCCAGGATACTCTCACATCATGCATAACTGTACAACTAACTGAGGTTTCACTAGATTTGGAAGGCAATGGAACATGTAAGTTCCCTTAAAGTGCTGGAACAAGAGCAGAACTTCCCACGTTTGGATCAAGTTGCAGTTAAATGAACATATTGTTTTCTTTGCTTGACTTCTTCATCCATCAGCAGCCATTTGTAGAATGCAAGAGCAGCTAAGGTGTAGCTCATCAGTAGAACACTTATCTAAAATGCATGAGGCTCGATCCTCAGTTCAAAGGGTAGGGAACAGTGAGAACCCTGCACACTTATTAGGGACAGGTGACTAACATCACCATATAAGAAAAAAAGCACAGGGATTTGGAAATTTGTCATTTAACTAACCCAACAAGAAATTTCAGACCTGAGCTTTGAGCTAAAGTAGGTATAGAAGATAATTTATCATGGATTGGTCCCAAGAGTGAGATCTATCCAGGCTGCCTGGCTCTCCCAGAAGCTATAGGTGCCAGGGCCTCCAGGATGACTATACAGTCTCGATGTCACATCATTCACTTTGGCCTTGGAATCATTTTCAAGGAAACAGATTTATTTCATTTCTCAAATGTTCCACATAAATTGTCACATTGATTTCAAGTTATTTCAAATGTCCCCTTGACTAAATTCTATTATTAAAGAGACCACATATAGTTTCTCCCTCTGAATAGCTCAATGCAAACATTGATCTGGGAAAGAAACGATGGACTGGAAGATCCAAATGTCCTATAAACATAAGGTGTTCTTATCAGCACTACATTTGGTATTCTTAGCTACTTGTGCATTTGTTCTTTAGATACCCGAGGGTCCTCAAGTGCTTCATTCTTCTATTGAATTGATAAAGGAGCCCCTCACGCATTCTTTCTTTCCAGGAGCACATTTACAAGCTGATGAAGAGCGACTCATACCCCCGCTTTATAAGATCTAGTGCCTACCAGGAACTTCTACAGGCAAAGAGAAAGGTACTGGTTCTTTGTGACCTCTCTTGACCTTAGTTCCTAGTTAAAATTAATAAGAGTAAATGTCTCTGCGGGGCCAGGGTTTCAATCAAAGGGTAAGTATCCACTCTCTAAGACCTCCCCCCCCAACTCCTCCATTTCTAAGGGCCATTTAAGTTGGTTTTGTTTCTGTTTGTTGATTGCTCTGTGTATCATTTTTCAGTTGCTTTTGCAGATGTCCATGCTTTACAAAGGCTATTAGAAGTTTTCATGTTTAATGTTCATCTTTAATATTCCTAGTTAAAGGGAATGAAAACTCCAATCAGGAAAAAAGTCAAGTGCTGAAACTTGAAGACAGTTTTGTTTATTTACAATGGTAGCTGTATGTTTGTAGGGAGACATAAACCTGAGTTTTTCAAAGATAGCTGCTAAAGAGCAGTCATGTTGGCAGATGAATATTTTTCATCTGACTTACATCCCAAACTACTTAGTATCTTGATAACCTATTTCAATCTAAGATGATAAGCAAGCACATTTGGGTAGTAGTAGTAGTAGATTTCATAAGTTAATTAATATTTGTAATCAAAGTCTCATTGTACATAAATCCCTCATATGACCAGTGTAACATTAATTGTAAAATCTGTAGAGAAAAATCAACTTTATTTGTAATTTTTAATGTTAAGTAGCCATGGATTCTTAAAATTCTAAAATTAAGAGATGGTTCTGTTAATTTATCATTCAAACTAATGTGATATTTTTATAACCCATGGCCATTACAGATAAAAATAGTTGCAAGGGGCTATACTGCTCAGAGTGGCAATTGTTAATGTTTAAAATTAGTTTTAATTAAATGAAACTGCACAGATTTCTAGCCAACTGATACAAGTTTGAAGATACTCAGGTCAGTACATGTCTAACCTCTGAAAGCTGCTGGCAGCTCTCTGCAGTGTTTAAAGTTCAGGTTTAATTATTCATAAAATAAGTTTCATTGACTGAGGACAGAACAAAGACATTTCAAAGTAAGTCATCTTTTAAACCCCTGGGAAAGCCCTCAGTCACCACAACTAGAAGCTCTAATAAGAGACAGAATCAGGTGGGATATCCATCCTTGCAGCAAAGTCTAGCCTAAGGAAGCTCTCATCGAATTAATGTTATCAACAGAAACACAACCTTCATGGGATATTAGCAGTTGATTCTAAAGAAATTCCACTAGATTTCCAGACATTTAGGCTTTGCAAATATCAGCATAAAAGCTACCACATCTTAATTTCTGCTTGATTTTTGCTTTAAACCACACCATTTTGTTTGCTCAAGTATGAATTTTGGGTTTTATGATGAAATTGCCCACAAACAAAAAACTTGGATCCAGTGATGAGAAGTCCCCCTTGGCAGCCCCACTGCCATGTGGGCATGAGTTTCATACATGGGCTCAGTGTAGCATTACTTTACCATCCTGTCTTTTTTCTGTTCTGTTTTTCTTGCCTTTTTTTTTTTTTAATGTTCCCTTGTCTCCCTTCACCCTACCCCACACCACACATTTAAGTCTGGAAACTCAATGGATCGCAGAACATCTTTTGAGAAATTTGCACAGAATGTGGTAAGTTTTGCTTTTTGAGTAATTGCAAGTCGTTATCTCCAATGAAAATTTCCCTAGTATTAGTCCCATTGCACACCTTGCATTCTTTGACACCAAAAGTATTGTCTTTATTTAAACCCATAATCCTGCTTCCTACTTATCTCTTTCCCCAACCCTTTATAGAGTAGAAAAAAAAAAGCTGTCATGCAGGAACAACCACATGAGCTGAACTAAGGTTTGGAAAGAAATGTATAGCATGATATATACAATGAAGGAATAAGTTCTTCTTTGTGTCTGTGTTCCATGTACCTTTTCCTTATTAATGATAGTTGCATGCATTTCTTTGCTATTGCCCTCAGCTCTTCATTATGCCTAAAAATGAAGACAATGAAAGCTCTCTTCTTTCAGTCTTTGAGAGGAGAAAATGGTCAATTGAGCAGTTTAAAGCCAAGTGACTATTGGTAGCAAGCCAGTCTCCCTACCCTTAAAAAGACGCACCAGCGTCCTGCTCTTATTCTTTATTTCCCATAAATGTGTTGGAAATTGTTGCATTAATCTAAGAAACTAGTAGCTTTCCTCTCAGAATGTTCTTAGCCTTTTGCCATGTGTTTTGGTGATATATATATTTGTTTGTTGGATTCTCTTGTTTTTTTTTTATTTTATTTTCATTTTTTTGTACTGTGCCAACGCCTTTGGAACTTTCTGACATTGTGTAAGCTCAAACTAAAGACTTCAACACATTTATTTTTATAGGGCAGAAACCTCCCTATTTTCCCATGCCATAAAAACTGTACACCAACACTGAGGGCCAGCACTAACCTGTTATGAAAAGAGGTAGAACAATCTTGGTTTCTACTCGAGTTTTGTCTGCATCATCTGTGGAGTCGTGTGGTTAGCTCCATGCTGCTCTTTGTGTGTGTACGTGTGTGTGCTGTGGCTTTTGTTGTGATGGTCAACTTAAGTGGAGTTATGTGTGCTGAGATATAAGCAACCTGAATTCAACAAACTCAATGTTTGTTTTCAGTTTCCTTCAAGGGTTCACCACCATGGGAAATGCTAGTCCACTCTACATCTGGTAGGACTGCACAAAGCATTTGAAAGACTTTAAACAGCTACCTAGACTTTGAAAGGTCAATGTGATTGCATCAATTAAGAGGGAAGAGCAAGAAAAATTTCAAAAATTAATCACATTACACACTTCACAAAGCTTTGGCTATCTTTATTGGAATCTCTGTTCTTAACATAGGGTTTCCTTTTAAAAATGTCTGAGAAGTCACAATGGAGAAAGACAATGACAAACTATCGCCCTAAGATTTTTACTGGGAAAAGAAGCCACAATATATCATCAGGTACTCTGTGTACCACTAAAGAATTATTTAAAGTTAATCTTTTTCTAATGTAATGTGGAAGGAATATTGTTTCTCTTTATTGTAGTGGAAGTTTCTGTGACAGAATTTAAAATACTAATGTGACTTGGGAGAGATGGAAGAGAGAAGTAAATTTTTTTTCCTCCAACTCCAACCCATATCTGACCCACTTTCACACTTCTAAAATAGTACTGCATGGTCCATACTGGGCACCTTAAGAAAAAAACTAATAAGAAACAAGGGGAAGCTGGGCTTGATCAGCTCTTCCTTCCAAAATTTATACAGTTGCCCACTTAGTTGCAAACACATTGCTTTATCTTGGGAATCTGTACAAGGAATAGAGTTTAGCCAAAAGTGCCTTGTGGTATAAATGCCAATGTGTGAGGAGAAAGATGAACACCTAGTATTTGGTGCTAAGGAGAAAGAGAAGGCTATGTGTGTGCAGTTGTAGGATTCTCAGAAGGAATGGCATTTAACTGTTTAACTAGTTAAATAGGACTTCACTAGCCAAGATGGGCCAAACCTTCTTTAAAAGGGAGAAGGAAGTCAGAAAGGCTAAAGAAAAGGTGAAATTCTCTCTCTCCCCTCTGCCTCTCTCTCTGTCTTACACACATATACACACACACACACAGAGTTACATATAAAACATACTAATTACTTTCAGAAAGCCCTCAGATAGCATTAGTTCTTTTCCATCTGAGAAAATAAAACACAACATTTTTATCGTTTGGATGTTTATAAATATTATGTTTGGTGTCACTGTGAAGAAATCATTAAGGAAATTAAAGATCTCACAATGAATCCAGGGTGAGTTTAGGCCCAGTGGCTGTATTGGGGGATCACAAAAGTTGACATGCTAAGTTTTAGTAGAGACCATTATAGGATCAATAAAATAATTTCAACACAAGTAAAAATAAGAGGTGTGATTATAAGACATATAGGGACATATTAGAGGAAAGGTCAAGTTTGCATAAGCATTTCAATGGAGCCCTAGATGAAGGTGGCTGTGGTAGAGCAGGAAGGTTACATGAAGGACAGTGTGCACAGCAGAGTGGAACAGAGAAAACACACACCAATAGGTCTCACTGTGAACCTGGGGAAATGAGATGACAACACCCATTACTGATTACTTGCTATGCAACAAGCTCTATATCAAGAATGTTGTGTTATGTAAATTAATCTGACCCTAAAAGGTGGGAGTTATAGTGCATATTCATTCACCCATTTTATAGGTGAAAAATAATTGGGGGATGCATCTTCAAAGAATATAATTTTCCCAGAATCACACAGCGAGGGAGCTGGCTGTGACCAAAACCTTATTTCCTATTTGCCATCAAGTCACAGCCGCCTCTCCAACCCGGACCACTTCAGGTCAATGCTGATTTTAGGGAGTTCAGTTTCTGTGTTTCCAAATAGCACATTTGTAACCTGGGTGATAAGAACAGAATCACGTTTTTTTTTTTTTTTTTTCTCAGCCCAGAGTCAGTGTTTTTGTAGCCAGAATTTACCAAAGCCAAGGGAACATTCATTAGTCCTCTGACCTACCAATCACCACCTCCTTGCCCCCACCCACGAAGTACATTAGAGGACCTTCGTAACAGCAGAGTTGCATGGTAGCTTCAGTGTTCCCAGGACATCTCTTCTCCATTATATGTTTGTTTGTTGTCTGTATGCTCAACAATCCCAGGATGCTTTGGGGCTGGTGGTACCTTTCTTTCTCGGTAAGGCCACTTCCCAGCATCACTGATGGCTGAGTGTTATAGCCAGGGTTGAAAGCAGAATGTGCTTACTGAAACTTACTACTCTCTACAAACTGCCTTTGTTCTTTCCCCTAAGCCCCAAACAGGTGATATGAGTATAATTCACATTTGTGCAATGTCTTCGCACTGGCTTGTCTCAAGGGAAAAATAAAACAACCTAATTATCAGTGACACACACTTTTGTTTCTCTATTTCTCTTACTTAGCATTAGAGAAATTTCATTAAGGTCCGTCTTTCCACGGCCACTGTGTCCTTTCATGCCCTCAAGTGTCATTCATACTAAGTTGGCTTCGTTCTCCTCTCCTATGGAGCCTGTGTTTTACTGAGTGTGAAAATGGTTTCCTTCCTCTTTCACCATCAAGTGCATCACCGTTTCTCCATCTTTTTAACTGCCACAATGCCTATTTACCACAGGAACCTCACAGAAGAACAGATAGGACATAAGGTGCAAACAGTGCATGAGGATTGATCAGCCATGCCATCTGTCAAGGTTCATAAATCAAATACTGATGACTCATCTCTCCCTTGATTGTGTGAAGAGGAAATTGAATCAGCTTGGCTTTGAGTTAGGAAAGTAGGAACTGGAGAAATGAGTACTAGGGGATGCTATGATGAGTTCCCAGGAATTCAGTAAGCAAACTTCTTTTTGCAGAAGAGTCTTGTTCTGTTCCAGTGAATACAGTTATCTTTAGAGCCTTTCAAAGAATCAGTAGAAAAGCTAGAAAGGTCCACTGAGGCACACTGTGCCCTCTTTCTGGCCTACTTGTACTAAGTTGAAGCATCAAGCTTTGTCATCACCTTCTGGATAATTATTGCCAGAACTGATTTGTATTCTTTGATTTTAGTGTTAGGGCCTCAAACATACTGATTAATACTATACCACTGAGATAACCACCCAGTTCCCACTTTATGAAAGTTTTCACAAGTGCCTAGGTTGGCTGGGAAAGGAGTAGGTCTTTCTGAACAAATCTTCACTAACAGAGTAACTTAGTAGTTTAAGTCCTGATAGGACAAAATACAAACACCGAACATTAAACAATGAGAAACATTCAAAACTTAATTACTCTTAAAATATTCTTTTTTACTTAAGCAAATAAATTTGTTTTCTTTGTCGGTTTTTACACAGGGATTCCCTTCATAGCTCAAGGTTACCCTGAACTCTCTGCGATCTTGCCTTTATCTCCTGAGTGATAGAGTATCAGTGGTTCACCACCACACTCAGTTGCAATGAAACTATTTAGTTTTATGGAGAATCTTCGTTTAGTGATGAAATGTTCTTTAGCCCTAGAGTTCACCAGGCTTATTTACAGTCCAGCATAAAGTCTATTTCTGTATCTTATCCTGTGAGTTTTAGCAATCATTTCAACTGCTCGACTCCAGCTTCCCCAACTATATATCTCACTACCCCAGATCAGTTCTTCCCTTATTTGGTCATAGCTATTAAACACATCAAAATATGGTGGATATCCTTCAACTTAGTTATGGATTTTCTTCTCTTAATATACGCACTTAAAAACTGAACTCGTTGTTTAATTGTAGTATAACTGTATAAGGACTCACTCACTCCTTGTTCTTTTTTTCCCAACTTTATTTATTTGAATTAGAGACAGGATTGTTTTACATGACAATCCCAGTTCCCTTCTCCCACCCGTCCTCCCCTACCAGCCCCCCAACTAAAACCTTACCTGTCACATATCTTTTCTGCTCCCCCTGGATGGTAAGGCCTTCCATAGGGTGTCATCAGATCTCATTTTATCCTAACACAGGATGTCACATGAGTGATAGAAAAAGGCCATTCTGGATGGCAGGAATAGACTTCTTATTTTCCTGTTTTCCAAAGCCAACTGTGGCTGAGCAGCAGGAAGTCCTCTAAAGTACTTGGAAAGAAATATGGAGTCTTACCATTACAAATACTAGACCAGAAAACTGACCTGGGGATCCAGCATCCACTTCTGTGTTACACTCATCCTGTTTCTGTATGGACTCTTATACTAGTCTTTAGACCATTTGTCAATATGTATTGAGTCTCTGTTGTATGGTAGGCCATGTGCTACTCCTATGTACTTTTTGAAAGATAGCTGGTTAGACTGGGATGTAGCTTTGTGACAGGGCTTTTGCTTGGCATATGTCAGGTTCTGGGTGCCATACTCAGCACCACAAAAACACTTGTTCAAATATAGATTATCTCATGTATCCTTTCTTTCCCTTGTCATGATATTATATTCTACCACAAAGAAGCAGAGACAAAACTGTGAACATTCAGAGAGGTTATCTTATAGATTGTAGGTCTAGCAAGGAAGTTTCAGCTACATTCATGAAGCCTATCATATCTTTAATAAACATAAACATCATCTTAATTAAGCAGGCTGTTTCACATGAACACGCTCACAGCATGCAGACAGACTAGAACGGAGAGACCAAAAAGCTTTATGTTTCTTGTCTATGCCCCTGTACATGAACTGCAAAGGTTTGTGCACTTTTTTTTTAACTCTGGCTAATGTGCTATGGCTTTTGCTGCTCAGGATTGCAGGTACATTAATGTGGAAAACTGTTAGAAATCCCTATGACACCTCGTGTGAAAAACACTTATGAACTGGTGATTGGATCTCTCCAGCAAACAGAAGGCAAACCTACTCAAGAATGAACTACTGTCTCCTCTTCCTTCTTTTATGGATCTTAAACCCATCTCTTTCATCATTGTGTTGGCAGATATGGCTATCCATCTTGTTTTACTGTAACTGGTTGTGGCAATACCTTGCCTGAGAAAATGATTTCAGTCTCCCTGCAGCATAATATAAATCCATTGGTGAAAGGTTTCTGAACCATGTAGCCTAATTTAGTTTCGAAGGGGTAACTTTACTCTCCCCTGACAGCATCATTAGTTCAGAAATTGTCACTCAAGGTTGTACAAGCTATGAATTAGGTATGGTGAAGGTTTGGCTACCATGTACCCACTACACCACTGAGGGCTCCAAGGAAACACAGGTGTGGCTGCTGAGCAATGTCCAAGTTGCTCTACAGGTGCCAGGAGCAGAATCTACCAGAATTTTCTAAGTTCTGTTGAGCTTGAAGCCCTGTTTTTGTGCTGCTGATTGGGAGGCCTCAGAGAAGACCATCAGAGAGGCTTCTGAGATAAATGTACAGATCAGTGGTAGCATGCATCCGGCCACTCCTGGGTTCTTTTCTCTAACAAACAGTAGTTATCCCGCCCCTGTGCTGGGTAGGTGCTTTGCTCTCTGATTGAGAACACATAGGTAATAAGACATAGTGCCTGCTCTGAGTAAATTTATAATTTGTGAGAAGGCAGAGATGATTCAGATTGTGATCATGGGATATGGCTAGCATGCATATCTAAATTGACTCTCTCTTCCTATGGAAGTTGATTGCCTAGTGAACAGAACAAGGCTCCCGCTGGCTTCCTTGTAAGTGAGTCACTATGCATTATCCAGGAGCCCAAGGAAAACAGGGGAAAGAAGGACTGGAGACTGAGGAAAAGGCCTGCAAGATCAAAACTAAAAGGAGGCTTGAAGACTCAACAGAATCAGGCCAGGGCAAGTATGGAGGCTTCCAGTGGGAGCACAGGAGAAGACAATCAAGGAGCCAGACTATGTTCTGAGATCTCTTGGGCTGCAAATGGTGGCAATGGAGATGCTACAGAGCAGGGGACCCTTCTCTAGGATCAGTGGCTACTGTTCCAACATACATTAGGTGATCATTAGTAGAACATGACTGTTCAAGTAAGAGAAGGAGAGGAGGAAGAAAATTTGGAACACTGACATGTTTACTGCAACATTTAAAAGCCACATTTACTGGAAATTCAGATTAAACTTCAAACTGTCTCATTTAGGATTCATAATGTGATAAAGCAGTCAATAGTATTTTTCATTGTCACTGTTTTTATTTGGAGATTCTTAAGCTTAAATTGTGACTCTGGTATGTCTCAAGTTTCATATCATCTTACACACATGCTCTAAATTGTCACTGAATGAGAAGAAAGACCCGAGAATGTTTGTGTGTCCCTAAGTAGTTAGCATCACAGCAACTGGCAACATGCTTTGTAGATGATCAACTCAGCCTCAGTCTAAAATATGTCATTAAGCAAAGTGGCATGCAACAGGATTAAATTCAGGAAACCTCATCAGTGTTCTAAGGACAATGGGTGTGCATATTCTCTTCTAAGTGTGTTTCATGTAGCTGGGAAAAGTGTGAATAGAACTTAAGTAGATGAAGATAAGACTCCGTGTGACACCAAATTTCATTGCCACTAATAGTAGAGTTAGCTTCCAATTATGCCTTCTTATGTGACTACTTACTTGACAGTTCTCTTTCAACCAAGTCTCCTATTTCTCATTTTCTTTCATCCATTCTAAAACCACACATGGGGTCATATATGTTCCTCGACACTCCCTATGAAACATTTTTCAGAGAAGAGAAAGGCACTTTGATGCTGATGGAACACTGTGAAAGTAATTTTTAACATTCACATCATTTGTGCTCATTCTTGGAGACCATTTGCAATAGCAAGACAAGAGACTTTTTTGTACAACTTGCAAGCCTTCCTGTGCTTGGAAGTATTATGAGTGCATCTGTAGCCATCCCACTGTGGTTTCCATATCCCCTGGCAGACCACACAAAGCAGCCTGGATTGGGCAAGATAGGCTATGTGCATACAGACTCACGTTTTTTACTGCTGCACCGCTTTGTTTGCCAGGGGTCATGGTCTAAGTAACATGGAGAATATTAGACGATCCCTCATTCAATCATTATCCCTGTGACTTAAACTAGTGAGAAGCAAACAATAAAACAGGCTATGGCAATTACTGTACCTTTAAAGTACAACCCATCAACGGTTATATTGTTTCTTGGACTCCTTGTGACACCAAATGTTCAGCTGTTATTTGTTTTGTTTCTCCAAGCCACACAGACGACTTTGATATTAAAGATCTTTTTAACTTTTATCTTGTTCATGAACAACACGCACACAAATGCACAAGACATTGCTCAGTTATTACAAAAGGGAGCAATAACCACCCATGAACAAGTAATATACATATTACTGTCTAATAAGAGCATGCTACTAATACCAGAAATAAAATAAAAGTCACTGGGAAATCTTTCTCTTTTCTAGTTTTAAATTACAAATCTACAAGTTGGTTTGAGAAGATACTAAAAAAGATGGTGGTATGATCCTCTCAGAAGGGCAAAGGAATTTAGCAGAACCTGTTCATCCAGGGCAGTCCCAAGGGTCTTCTTCTCTGGGCTCACTGTGTTTGCTGGCCCCTGACTTCCAGAAACATGGTACATTTAGGTGGCAGAGGCATCAAATGCATCTCTAAGAGATCTCCCCCTTGTTTCCAAGAGCATCCACTCTTCTGTGGTCTCCAAGTATCACCTCTACTTCTGTTTCCTGTAACTGAGCAGAGCAATGCAAACCCCTTGTCTAGGTGACCACAGTGGTATCACTTAATGCCATACTATATGTCAGCTCTTCCCAAGTGTTCTTGCTGTTTCTCTTGGTTAAATTTTCTACCTTGCTACCTTTCTTCCCAAGTGTTCTTGCTGTTTCTCTTGGTTAAATTTTCTACCTTGCTACCTTTCTTCCCAAGTGTTCTTGCTGTTTCTCTTGGTTAAATTTTCTACCTTGCTACCTTTCTTCCCAAGTGTTCTTGCTGTTTCTCTTGGTTAAATTTTCTACTTTGCTACCTTTCTAAGTGGGATACCACTTTCCACGTCCTCAAATTACCAGTAGCCTAGAAAATGAAGATTCTGTGAGCTTGTCCCTCGGATACTGAATTAGAGTCATTCTCTATGTGTCTCTGTCTCTATCTCTGTCGCTCTCTCCTGCAGGGTTACAAGCATCTCTGGACAGTGCAGTGTAAGGATTATCACCTTAGCAGTATTCACACTTTAACTCTTCTTGCCAAATATCAGCACTTCTCACTTAAGCTGCATCAGAGCCCCTGCAAATATTCCTTTAACACAGCTTGATGGAAAACCCCCCACCCCCATTCAAACCTCTTTAATTGATACTTGTGGTGATCACACTATAGGTGTGAAAAGCATGCTTTGTGAGCCTCTGCCTTACACAAGACAGTACCCCTCACCCTCTCCATGGATCAGTGTTAATCAAAAAGCCAATGACATAGCTGAAAGACTGCTTTCCAGTTATGTGAGCTCAACTCCACAACCTCCATTGGAATTGTACAGAATCAAGTCAGTTGTGTTTCTTTTTATGACTATTATGGAATCCTTGCATTTATATATAATTTATTACCACATAAATAAAGTACAAAATGTAAATATGAAATGATATTTCTGTGAAAACTGAGCAGAACACTTTAAAAGATCTGATAAGGTAAAGATACCTTTAAAGTGGTGATCGGATTAAATCTGAGTGGATCTTGCACAGGTGGGAGCTCCCCTGCTTTTCCTTTATTTTCTCACTACCTTAACTGCTCACCGAGGTTTGTCCCAGTCCATCAAAAGCCTTCTTAGATCATAGCCAAGCACAATACTCAATATGTGACCCAACAAGAGATGCCACTCCCTGGATTTGTCTTCTGAATACATTTGACAATCTAACTGGAAAACTGCATCAGCTTTTTGGCCCCAATCTCCAACCATAACCAAGTAGAGTCATTCAGTGCTTTAACTAAAATGTTTTTGAAACATCGTTTTTTCTTTATGAGCTGGAGTTAGTTATGTTTTCTACCCTTGTCTTTTGTTTGTAGACTTTTTATTTGCTGCTTATTCATTTTAATGTAAATTTGAATTTCTTCCTTCTTCCTGTTTTGCCCTGCTATTACATTTCATAGTTCATCCCTGTGCTTGCCGTCTCTGTACTTGTTTGGAGTATCTCTTGGTTAGTCTTTTGAAGATGATAATCACATTTGCCTCATGCATGCACTCTCTCTCTGCATCCTATTAATATTTCATTCAGACTAACAATGAAAATGCCCTAAGGTACTGGGAAGACAGCAGAAGCTGCCACTCTAGTGAACAGCACACCTTGGAGGTGGTTGTTTGCCTAGTTATGAACTGCATCTTTCTCTGTCTCATCCACAGAGATGCCATGAAAGGCTGCTCCACGCCGTACTTAGCCCAAGAGCCTTTGTTTAAAGCAAGCTCCTGTCCTCAAATCTGGTAAACCCTTTCTAACAACTGTCAATACGCATGTCCAGACAGAGAGACAGCTAATGTAGTTGATATATAGGGACTTCTTGGTAAAACATAACCAGAAGAGCAATCTGCCATTAGGAAAATTAGCACAGGATTCGGGCAGTTTTAATGATAAATGCAAATAGTCAATAAATATATGAGAAAAGAGAAAACCAAGAGCCCAGTGTTATTAAAAGCCAAATACAAACCAGAAAACAAAATAGCCTATTGCTGCAAATGGGCTATGTTTCTTTCTAAATGATATGTAGTGTTAGACAAGGGATATGAAAACAGATGCTGGGTATCTTGATACGTACATTGGTAGCCCCAGCTATGCGGGTGGTTAAGGTAGGAGGATTATAAATTCAAGGCCAGTCTGTATCACTTAGTGAAATCTTGTCTCCAAATAAAATAAATGAAGATTGTGGGATGTAGAATTATTGTACAGCTTGCCTCGAGGCATGGATTAGAGAAATTGGGTGGTAAAAGAAAGGGAGGAAGGTAAAAGAGAAAAGGAAGGAAGGAAGGAAGGAAGGAAGGAAGGAAGGAAGGAAGGAAGGAAAAAGATAAAAACTAGGCAAACTTATACATTGTTCCTATAAGTATAACCTTTTTTCTGGAATATAGTTTGATAAAATATTCTAAAAGTGTCCAAATTCTAACTTAATCCTAATAAAACCCAGATGTTCTGACATACACAAAAAACATTCATTTCATCATACAATTGCTAAATATAGAAACTCTGAATGTCTAGAAATTGAGACTGACTTAGTCCATCAGAGCCTGTCTGCTGCACTGTTGCACACATATTAAAAATCAGATTTAGATCACTGGCTTTTGTAGTTTTTAATTCTAGCCACATTTCACACATTTGATTGATACATTTTACATGTGTGTATACTATATATAAATACACATACATGTACATTACACTTGTATATGTTTAGATGTTATGCATTAAAACATTTCACAAGCAGTAAATTCCCTATTGGGTGTAATTCCTTGTGACATTTTTTCACCTATTCTATGATAATTAATTTTTTTGTAAATATGGCTGCACCTACCTAAATTGATTTTTTCACATAATAGTTGGAAAAGTTATTTCACAGGAAAAGTGTAACAGGGCTATTATTGACTGCCATGAATCATTAAATGTACCTGCTACAGTAAGTCAGCATCTATAGTATTATTCATTTATTTTTTAAAAGCTCTAAAATAGTTTAATAAAAAAGTTGAAAGGTATATTAGTTGGTAAATAATTATGCTTTAAGTTATGTTGTATCTTCCTTTCGGTCATCTGTATTTTCATTTAATGGTTGTCTAATTTATAATTTTAAGTAAGGAAATAGGATTATTTGGCTTATGATAATTCTTAACCCATATAGAAATCTAGTTGTCAGTCCTTAAGTGTATAATTGTTCATAGCTATATCCTCTTAGTTAAGAATGTTGATATTCAAAAGACAGAGTCCTCTTCCTTCTTTACTTCAATCTCAGAATTGCTATACATCTAAAATTATAAGAAGTTGTGCCTATTCACAGTTTCACTAGAATTACCTAACATGCTTTAATAAACCCGTTTGCAACTCAGAGGAATTGGCTTTTGTTAAATCAGGGAAGAACTTTTGGGAAAGGCAATCTAGATTCAATTTCTTCTTAACCATCTTCCAAGTCAAAAAGACCGGATTTATGTTAGTGAATTGGTTAACTAAGGGTTAGGACAGGATGACATCAGTGTCCCTCCATCACTCAATCTCTGTTCCCTCACTCTCACCCTATCAAGCCTCTCTTACTTTGAATTAAAAGTGACTTAATCCCAAGACACTGAAATCTTTCTTACCTCCATCTGTAAAAATTTATTCTTGAAATGCTATTTCAAGTGAGGGAGTTCTGCTCATAGAAGGAACTGTGAATTGAATTGGAGACTTCTTTAAGCCAGATGTTTTTTAACAGCTGTCAATAACTTCACCAGGGTGTGTGACATACAATATAATACCCAGATGTTTGTTAAGTACATGAAAGAAGAACTGAGGGAGGGGAGTGGCAAAATCCAGGGGGGCAGAGATGTGGATAGAACACTTACCATTGAAGGCTGAACAAAGGACACACCTGTGTGCAGAGAGGGCCCTGATTGAGGGAGCAGAAGGTGGCAAGCCAGCTGAAGGACCATGTGTGGCGTAACAGTAGGCAGACTAGAATGACAGGGAAGCCAGATAATGAATGATTTTGAAATCTAGGCAGAGTGAGACAACAGCATTTTCAACATGAGAGTTAAAAACAGTGTGTCTTTAGTTTATTTCTTTTATGAGCATGCTCACATGGCCAGCTGTGTTGATTTCATGCCTAGAAACTAGGCATTTGTCAGACCACATAAGTCAGTGGGCAGGTAATCCCTGGGACATTATTCTAGAATGTGCTTATAAGTCTACAGGAACATGTAGCAGCAGGTATTTTCAGGATACTAGCAAATAGGAACTGTAATGGAATAACAAGAGTTAATGAGGCTGAGTCAAACAGAATGGCGAAAGTGGAAAAAGTCTTGTGCTTTTCATACTAAGGCGGTCAGTGGCGGTTAGTGGCTAAGGTCAGTGGCTATTCCCTGTAACTCTGCTCATATCGCTGTTTGGTCAACTTGCTTGGCTCTGTACTTTTGAGATGATCATAAAACTTATGGAGTTCACTGCTGAGAAAAATGTAGCTTCTTGTGCATGCTTATGGGTCAAACTATGCAGAAAAAGAAAGTGGAAAACTATGGTCGCATTGTCCCAAGTTCCATGCTGTGGCTAAGAGCCTGGCCTTCCTGTCCATTCTCACAAACTCTACACTCCTTGTCTTATATCTCTGCTTTAAGACCAAAAATGAGGTTCGTAAGTCAGTTAAAATTCACAACAGTGAGTTAGTGGGTCTACAATCTCAATGACTTGAAAGCTGAGGCAGGGAGATCATGAATTTGAGGCCTTCCTATGCTACAAAATGAGGTGAAGGCCATCATGGGCAACTTGGTGAGACTTTATCTAAAAATAAAAAATAAGTAAGAGGGTTGAGGATTCATCTCTGTGGCACAGAGTGCAAAGGCATATGTGTAGCCCAGGGTTAGTACCTGTACCATAAAATAATTTTTAAGTTGCTGTTTGGGGGATAGTTGGTTCTTTTCTTCCTAATTACAGCAAAAGCTTTGGAATCATGGAGGAAGGGAAATTTGTGGTCTGCTGAAGGTGAAGTTGTATAGTGAGACACAAGGAACTCTGTTTAGATGACTCTTGTATTGCAGGTTAAGCTGATGCTCCATCTTCACCCCTGTGCCAGGCAAGATTTGTTCAGAAACCGATCACATGCTTGTTTTTCTAGCATAC